TTTTTGTCGCCATTTTGTACATCGTGATTCGCGATTTACATTCTATTAAGCAATATTTCTATTAATCACGTAATTTGCTTGATGTTCATTAAATGTACTTAATGGAGATCTATAAATCTCTGAATTAAGTAAAAATTAATGAAATATCACGCATCGATCGAGCAGAAGAAGTTTCCCATCTAAATTTTGTTCCCTTGGATATTACATTCTATCCGTCGTCAAACAGTTACGCATGAATGAATAAATTGTGATACCAGCAAAAACCATGTGCAAGTTGTTATATTGCACGTAGCTTGAATAAATGTCGTCCGTTGACTATTACATGTTGTCGTTGTTAACTATTAGATGCGCCAAAAGGGGGGATCTAACGATCGCCTGCAAGTTTCTTACGGTGCCGCGACTACTGAAAACCGGATGCCATGCACAGTTCGCCAGTGTCGCCTTTCTCTCTTTCACGAATATTGAATTACGACATTTCATCAAAAACTTTGCATTTCCTAATCTTTCCTTCGGTTCAAGACCGACTCTGAAAGGCACATATACGCTTACACCTCATCCCTCTTGACACAATTAAATTCTGTTAAGTTCTGAAACCTGAACTGGTGTGACAGCAAGAACAGAAGAACAAGATGAACACGTGACGACAAAATTTGTAGTAAAATATATCCATGTAACAAAACGATGAAGTTTCATGCAATTATTTGACATTTCGCGTTATTTCTAGGATTATTTGCAGAGTTCACGTTAATAGAAAATCTTGTAGGCGTTACATTTAACAAATCAATCAATAATATAATTATATAACAATTATATATTATATTATATTAATAATATTTATTATATTATATTATTATATTATATTAATAATTATATTTAATATAATAAATATATATTAATAATAATTATATATATATATATATATTTCAGATAACACTGTAAACCTAACGCACAAATAATTTTTCTCGCATAGAATAAACGTAAAAATTGTCTTACGCTGAGAATATCCTAAATAATAAAAGTAAACTAACTTAATATATAAGCACCAATTATAAACAACTAAGGAAACGTACGTGAAATATATCGCATAAGAGAAGATTAATTCGACAGATATATATTGAATCACAATATATATATATATATATATATATATATATATAT